TGGGGATAGAGGTCGTATCTCGTTCAGGAGTGCTTTAGATACGACACCAGTGTGCTGAGCTGAAGGCGGCAGTAGAGCGTTCAGAGCGGGAACGGGAGAGTGTTTCGATGGTAGGGGTGAGGGGAGGGTTATGTCGTGGAGGTTCCTTCCAGATGAAGGAGGAGGAGACGGAGGCTATGAATCGACTGGATGAGGCAGTGAGGAAGCTGGAGGGGGAGCGGGAGGAGGTGCGGGGGAGATGGGAGGAAATGGAGAGCAGTCTTCGAAGGGAGCTGGAGGTGAGGGGCGAGGGCATCTGGGGGAGGGCGATGGGGTCGACCTCAGAATTTGGGGGAAGAGATGATGCAGTGGAAGGAGCGAGCGGAGGAGGCAGAGGAGAGGCTGCGGGAGGAAGCTAGGAAGGCTGAGGTCAAGGACGAGGAGAGACAAGTACGTCTGTGATTAGGTATAGTGGTGGAGGGGGAGAAGTTTAGGTCTATGAGGAGAAGCTTGAAGAGTTGTCCCAACAGCTGTCGTGCTCTGGTGACACGACAGAGAGGCTGATGAGGGAGCTGGAGGGGGCCCGGTTGGAGGGAAATGAAGTTCGGCAGTGCTTGGTGAACCAGAGGGAGGTGTTACTGGCCGTGTGTGGAGGGGTTGTCGAGGCTTGCTGTCCACGCTCAGGGCTATGAGAAAACGATGGCTCAGCTAGAGGAGAATTTGCGAGACGTGGAGGGTAAGTTGGTAGCTGCTGAGGTGAGTGTAGAGGAGTCCAGAGCGGAGCTAGCTGCACGGGAGGAGGAGCTCAGTCGGGAGGTGAAGGTAGGAGGGAGGGGGAGAGCGGTGTTGGGGTTATCCTACTGTATAGGAGAGGGCAGAGGCGGTGGAGGGCTTGGAGAGGCAATTGGAGGAAGCGAGAGGGAAGGTAGGGTGCTTGATCTGAGGAGTGGAAGGAAGCCTCGTTACACAGGTTGACGAGTTACAGAGGGCTCAGGCAGAAGAAGAGGAGAAGTACTCCGTGTTGGCTCAAGTGGGTGGAGGGGACCCTACGGGAGTGGCCTTACATGGTCTCTCTGCTGCAGACGAATGAACGGCATATTGCGTCCCTAGAGCGGCAGATAGAGCAGGCTAGGGTGGGGTATGAGAAACATATAGATGAGGTTGGTGGGGGAGAGATGGTCGCCTACGTGTGTTGATGAAAATTCTAGAGATGTTAGTGGTGGCTTCTACCCAAATTAGCGTATTGGGGAATTCTTGAGCTGAGCTGAGCCTCCAGTTGTCGTATCGCAGATGAATAAGCATCTGTTGGAGATCCAGAGTGACCATGAGGTAGAGATTGCTAGGATCGGCAAGGAGGCTATCATAGAACACGACGAGCTCATAGAGGTGGGGCTGCTGGACTGTGGTGGGGGTTGGGCAGGGTCCTGTCTAGGCCTACAATGCCCGCATAGCTCAACTGCAGGAGGAGATTGATGAAAAGGATGCTAAGGTGGGAGGAGGGGGTGCATGCTCCTATACAAGAGTCTTGGATGAGGCAGATAGAGACGTTGAGTAAGGAAGCAACTGTATTGGTGGAAACTCTGAAGGATGCTGCTCGTGATGAAGCCGCACAAATCAGCGAGGTAGCAATGGCTGTAGTCGCCTACTGTGGAGGGGTGACGGTCAGGAATACGAGGGGAAGATGGAGGACTTGGAGAGGGAACTGGGCAGGGTTAGAGCTGAGGTTGGTGCTGGAAGCTGTAGTAAACTGTACAGCTCGGCCTTGTCAGTTGGAGGAAGTGCAGAGGGAGGGCGAGGGGCGTCTTGAGAGGGCGATGGCTGAGTTCGAGGAGGTGTGGTATTGAATGAAATCGTAGGCCTAGAGTCCTACTGGTAGATGCTCCGACAGAAGGAGGCTGAATACCGACAAGAGCTACAGCGCATGGAGGAGGCAGAGAAGGCCAGGCTGGAGGAGGTGAGGACCATCTTTAGGGTGTGGTGATGGTGGGGTGATGGTAGAAAGGAGAAGGAGGGCGAGCTTGTGAGGGGGGAGCTGCAGAAGACGATAGCGCGGCTTTTCGAGGAGAAGGAGGAGCTCGTAGAGGTAATGCTGATGCGCTTGGCCTCACTAGGACGATGGTGCACTGTGTAGATGCATGCTAAGACTGAG